CATTGATCCACCTCCAAACCAAATCCTTTTCTTAAAAATCCTGCCACAGGATAAATTCTGTTTATAACTTTCTTTGGCTTTAGGTTAGAATAGACCATTGAACACATTTTGAGAGGCTTTATCAACTGTATGTGAACTAACAGGAATATCTCTCTTCCAAGTAAATCTATCATAATCATGAAGTTTTATGGCTTTCAAAAAACTGCTAATAAATTTATTATTACATTTTTTTATCAAGCAAGTTGCATTGTGAAATCAAGAAACTGGGCAATATTGGTAGGTAATTATTATATAACCTAGAATATCTAACCAAGTGAATTAAAAGCAGTGGAATCGATTTACACAGTTTGTTATTCTCTCTTAGAGAACAATTTACATTATATATATATATATTTTAACCTGAATGAATTAAAATATCGCTGTTTATCATCCAATGAATCTAACATAATGTCTTTGTTGAGCCATTCCTTTTTGAAGATAGATTTACGATTAATTGTGGGTAAAAATCATTTTCCAATAATGCAAAATCTGCTTGTGGAAGTCAGACATCTTAATTGGAATGTTTAAATGACTCTAAAAACAGATTTTATACCACTTAAAGCTGATGAGTTTACCATCAAAGGAGAAACACTTCTTGTACTTGCTCCTTTCATTCAAGCTACAGTGGAGTTGTGTGCAGAGAAGTGTCAGGGTCAAAGGTCATCCCAATGATGAAAATACTCTATATGGCACTAGAGCGTAATGATTCAACTTTGCACACTGAGGCAGCAAAACGCCTACATGAGTACCTGAAGCGTTGAGTCACAGACACTTCTTCCAACCTGGAGTCATTAAGTGTGTTGACCCTGGGGACACTTCTAGACCCCAGATGTACTACGGTCAGAATGTACATCTATAATTGGAAGCACAAATGAGCCCCAGCCAGGAATATCTTCACTTCAGGCATGATGTTGGGCATTGTTTGTTTGTTATTTGTCAGTCATGTACTAAAATTTTGTGTTTTTTTTTTGTTTTTGTTTTTTAGATAACCTTTAGAAACTTCTGGAGATCGAAGTGGGGAGGCAGAAAGCGCCACAGCTGATGCCATCCACGAGGTGCATAGATACTTGGTAGAGGGCTATATTGCTAGGTCCCAGGATCCTATTATATCCATCCATCCATCCATCCATCCATCCATCTTCTTCCGCTTATCCAGGGTCGGGTCTAGGGGTGTGGGAAAAAATCATTTTGGCAATATATCGCGATTTTTGGCTGCCTGATATGATATCGATCTTTTAGTTCCTAGTATCGATTTTTTTAAAGGTACATTTTTTTACCTAAAACTGAGGAAAAATGGTCTACCTTTGTTCCGCCACTCTGGCAGATGGCGCTGTGGCGCCCTTTTGCTGTGCGGTGCAGCATATTATTTATAGTTGAGG